CCACGTCCCAGGTCGCACACATGCAGACAGCTACCTTGTCCGCGAATGGCGCTGATGCGTTGCCCCGGCCATGTGAAAACACAGGATGGTCGTGATGGGGCAGCACAAACTTCTGGCACCTTTTGCTCCTGCATCGGTAGCTCGCGCTCCTGCCTGGAAAATTCTTCAATGGGCCCAACTCCCCCTCCCCGCCCCAGGGGCAGATCTCGCCGCGCCAATCGCGAAGATGGCCGCTCGCGGTGAGCTTCTTCACTAGGCCCATCGCAGTGGCGGTGTGCACGGTCTTCAGGGAACATTGGATTACAATCCGTTCTGGGCGAGATTTAATAGTCTTTTGCCCGTGTCGAACGTAAGGCACGTATGGGGTCTTGTGCTTCGCAGCTGGCCTTTTTGCGATCTTCCTGACCATGCGCGCCTTCCCACGCTTAGGCATGCAAGACTGAAAGGCACTGGGCCTCTTCGTGCACGGCCGAGTGGACCCAGCAACCAAATCCAAAACATCAGCCTCGATACTAACTTTGCCGTCATCTCCGTCAGCCACTCGGAGCAGGCGAACGTGGCGTCGGCCATCGTCCCAATGAGTAACCAAGTCGTATAGAGCCTCGTCACCCATTTGCATGACGACTTCCTGACGCGAGTCGTAAACCAACATCATCGGCGACCCCTCGCGGGCACGAAGACCAATTGCATGTCCACGAGTTCCGGGTGCGCCGATATGCAGGACAAAATTATCCATGGGATCCGCGCAAATCAAGTCGCTCAGCAGTACCTCGGAGAACTTGAGAGGGGGGTAGAGCTTCTGCAATTGTCGGTAAGAGTACGGGCCGCTAGCGAACCCTGCCTGGCTCGGCTCCCCCGCAACTAAGTCCATGTTTGTGAGAGCACTGATGACGCACATGTTCTCACCGTGGACAACCTCGAGCGCCTTGCCTTCCAACTTCTCGCACGCAGCCGCCAGGACGGAAGAGAAGTCGTCCTCGTGCGGCCGAGAAGAGGAACTGCTGCCTAGAATGCGGTCGCCTGGCTCGGGAGCGGCGCTCCTCCAAGGAATCGGCGCGCCGCTTAAATCCTTCAATTGCAGAGATATCCCGTGGCCGGCTTCGATCGCAGACACATGTGCGATGAAGTTCTCGTCGTGCACGTCGAGCCCCATGGGTCTGAAGTAAATACCGTCGTAGACTAAAGAGATCGGCACCGCACCTGCTTCTTCCAACAGGTGCTTCATGTCCATCAGGACACTGCACTCCAGTTCGCCGAGGAAGATGTGCAGCGAGCTGCAATCTGGTCGCGCCTTCGCGACCTCCTGGTAAAGAACGTCGTGCTCGAGAAGAAACCGAGAAGCATTGACTATTTCCGTCTGCAAACAGTCCAAGTGTGGGAGCCAGTCAGGCCGCTCCTGTGGATTTGGCGACTGCCGCCCGTAGGGGCTGGTTGCCGAAATCAGCAGCTTCTTCGCGACGGCCACCTCGACGTCGAAGTACTTAGACACAAAAGTCTTCCATCCGTCCCAGTTGCTGACAACGTTGCACAGAAGCGGGAACTCTGCTTCGACGTTGAGCTGATCGTGCTGCTTTAAGGCAACAACCAACAAGCTGAAAAACGCAACCTTCATGTCGAGTTCTAAAACGCCTCCTGGAATGCCGGCCAAGGCGGCGCGCCGAGCTTCCCTGGTAACTTTCTGGAGTGAAGGTCCCGCAGTATGAATTCGCCCAAATCCATATTTCATGTAGGTCCGAAGAAGACTCCTCAATGAGCGCTGTCCGCCGTCTGCAGCGACTTCCATGGATGCGGTTCCTCGTTTCTCCAATAAACGAGAATATCCTTGAATCTGGGCCTGCCGCCGGTCGACGCCAGAATCGACGTGGGCAACCAAGCCGTTGATGTCCACGACGTCCGCCACCGCGCACACAACGGAGCAGTTTGCCTGACGGAATTCCTGCTCTTCATCAGACAACAGGTAGTCTTTATCTTCAGGCCGAGCTCCCATGAGCCATCTTTCGCTGGGACTTGCCGTCGGCGCTGGGATGTCAAAAGACCGGGTAAGTTTCAAAATCTTGTCAGTATCAACTGGAAATACTAATGCATAGAGCTGCTGCTTGCCGAAGAAATTGACATCGGTGTCCTTCTGGATCAAGTATTCGGCCAAAGGCCCACAGCTTTTTGCGAGCGTCACAAATTTTGTGAAAGCCGAACCTCTTGGAACATCGAGCAAACTGCATAGCTCTCTCGCGACTTTCCAGTCCCCAACCTGTCTGCCCCTGCCTTTTGCTAATTTGCGCTCCTCTCCATGCTTCTTCTTGTTCTCTTCCTGCCATAATTTTCTCAAGCAGCAAGCTAAGGCGTCCCACTCAGAATCGCTACCACCAGCTCGCTCGCCTGCGGCGCCAGGTGATATATCCATGACGCACTTGGGCCTTGGATCGCACTGCTGGTTGGTCAGACGCTGGATGTACCAGCGCGTGGACACCTTCATGTGCTCATCGAGATTATCTGGTTCGAGTGTGCTCACAATGGCCGACGTGTCCCCGAGTGCATCCCAAGTCGGCTGTAGAATCTCTCTGAAATACACGTGAGCTCCAGCAGGGCACGCCAATATATTTTCCAAAATATCCGAAGAAATTTTCAAGAAGCGGCCGTTCTCGTGGTCGACGTCTTTACTGTCGATAACCAGCGTTGCAAGGCCCACGGCCGACGCCAAATAACGGCGGTCCACTGACTCCGTGGGGGACTTTCGGGGTGCTCCTTCTTCCCCGCGCACTTCAAGATCCTGCGCGGCAGCGCTTCGGGGAATCGACATGATAGGAGAGACGTCGTCGTAATTGCAGCTCTGCTGCTTCTTCATTTTGTTGTAGCGAACTTCGCTGGAGAATCCGAAGTTTGCCCTGACGATCATCTCCTCGCCCGCAATGAAGCGTTTGAGCACGTCCACGTTGATCCTGGCGTTGGCTGAAAGGCTTTTCGACTCTTTAATGCACACTCGCTTCTTGTGAAGGCCGAAGTGCGCACTTTTCCGCCACTCGTTGTCGTCGACGAATATGGCGGGGTCGAGGGTGGCCGAGTTCTGCTTGCCAAAAAGCGAAGACTCCAGAATATCGAATGCGCCCTTGCCATCACCACCTTCTCCGATCGCCACCATCATGACGGGCACGTGGATGCCGAAGAAGGCGCAGTATGTCGAAGCGCACGAGGTCACGAAGTATCCGTCGTTCTTGTAGAAGAAGGAATCGATGTAGTCATGAACTACCTTCCTTACGTCCGATAACGAATGCTGTCTCCCGCGGACCACAGGGCAATCGGCGAGCGTAACGTTGGCCTCCTCGTACTTGAAAGGCACGCGGAAGTAGCAGTTGTGGGAGTGGGAGGAGTGGGAGGAGGAGGAGAAGCAAGAGGAGGAGTGCGGAGGAGGAGGAGGACGACGACGAGGACGAAAACTGAGGCCTCAGTTTTAACCCTCAAGCGGGCCAGGTCACCGAAGGCCATGGCGCCGTTTGTGGACGTACGCTGTCCTTTCATCTGATCGCTCCTGATCGCTCCTTCTCCTCCTCCTCCTCCTCCTCCTCCTCCTTGCCCTTCCTCCTACCTCTCCTCCTCCTCCTCCTCCTCCTCCTCCCCCCATCCGCCATTCCTCCTCCTCCTCCTCCTCATCTCTTCGGGCCTGGAGCGGCAGAACGGGAGAATGAGAGAGTCGAGGAGCGGGAGAGCGGGAGTGCGGAAGGGCGGGAGGGCGGAGAGCGGGAGAGCGGGAGAGCGGGAGAGCGGGAGAGCGGGAGAGCGGGAGAGCGGGAGAGCGGGAGAGCGGGAGAGCGGGAGAGCGGGAGAGCGGGAGAGCGGGAGAGCGGGAGAGCGGGAGAGCGGGAGAGCGGGAGAGCGGGAGAGCGGGAGAGCGGGAGAGCGGGAGAGCGGGAGAGCGGGAGAGCGGGAGAGCGGGAGAGCGGGAGAGCGGGAGAGCGGGAGAGCGGGAGAGCGGGAGAGCGGGAGCGGGAGAGCGGGAGAGCGGGAGAGCGGGAGAGCGGGAGAGCGGGAGAGCGGGAGAGCGGGAGAGCGGAGAGAGCGGGAGAGCGGGAGAGCGGGAGAGCGGGAGAGCGGGAGAGCGGGAGAGCGCGGAGAGAGCGGGAGAGCGGGAGAGCGGGAGAGCGGGAGAGCGGAGAGAGCGGGAGAGCGGGAGAGCGGGAGCGGGAGAGCGGGAGAGCGGGAGAGCGGGAGAGCGGGAGAGCGGGAGAGCGGGAGAGCGGGAGAGCGGGAGGGCGGGAGAGCGGGAGAGCGGGAGAGCGAGAACGCGCCAACTGGGCTTCCTGGGTGGCACGGGTGGCCCGAGAGGCCCCGGGACGGAATGGCCCGGGCCTGGATGGCCACTCTCCCGCCCTCCCGCTCTCCCCCTCCCGCTCTCCCGCTCTCCCGCTCTCCCGCTCTCCCGCTCTCCCGCTCTCCCGCTCTCCCGCTCTCCCGCTCTCCCGCTCTCCCGCTCTCCCGCTCTCCCGCTCTCCCGCTCTCCCGCTCTCCCGCTCTCCCGCTCTCCCGCTCTCCCGCTCTCCCGCTCTCCCGCTCTCCCGCTCTCCCGCTCTCCCGCTCTCCCGCTCTCCCGCCCTCCCGCTCTCCCGCTCTCCCGCTCTCCCGCTCTCCCGCCCTCCCGCTCTCTCCCGCTCTCCCGCTCTCCCGCTCTCCCGCTCTCCCGCTCTCCCGCCTCTCCCGCTCTCCCGCTCTCCCGCTCTCCCGCTCTCCCGCTCTCCCGCTCTCCCGCTCTCCCGCTCTCCCGCTCTCCCGCTCTCCCGCCCTCCCTCCGTCCCGCTCCCCCGAGTGCCCCCGAGAGTGGAAGTCAAGGCCCAACCCCGAGGGCTTCCGAGTGGAAGTTAAGGCCGCAAAGAGGCTTAGGTAGATCATAGGAGCGGGGGCGACCATATATATATATATATATATATATATATATATATATATATATATATATATATATATAGATAGATATCGATCGGCGCTGGGCCCCCCCCTGGCGCGGGCACCCAAGACAAATGCGTTCGAAAGTGTACGCCGATGCCGCTGCTTGCTTCTCTTGTGCGTGCCGCCAAACAGGACTCAGTATCCTCCAGCGTATCCCCATCTCAACTGGGCCATGGTATCTCAGCCCCACCATGCCAGCACACCCTGTCTGGGATAGGCCTCTTGAAAGCTGAGCGGAGCAGCCTGTACGTATCCCCTCTAGGCGGGCGAATCGGCCAGTGGGGCCCAGGCCGCGCCACTGGGGATGAGGATTGGTTAAACGATGCCCAATCGGCACCGTCCAAACATATTTACATTATATATGCGTCGGCCACGCAAGGACGACGCGAACGCTCGGACATCTTCTAGTACAAGCTCCGCGGCGGGCGTTTTCTGGCCACACCGCTCTTGAAAAGATATGCTTCAAGATGCTGTGCTACATGTTCGGGTCGGACGTGCGCCTCCACCAGAGGCACATAGTACTAGAGTATGTCCTCACGCGTCCCGCAGAAGCCGTTGGTCCTGGGGCCGCCTCGGCCGAGGGGCGGCGGAGGCGTTCGCCGCGGGGTGCCCTCGGCCGCACGCGCGCGCGCGAGGGGAGGGGCCTGGCCTGGCCGCCAGAGCCGCACGTCCTCCCGCGCCCCGCTCCAGGACGGCGGCGGCCTGCCGGCCGCCCCCGTCGCCAGGTTCTCCCGCGGCCGGGCCGCGGCGGCCGCCCCGCGCAGCGGCGACCCGCGGCCCGCCCTCGCGCCTGCGGGCGCCCTGGCGGCGCTCGCCGCCGCGGCGGCGCTCGCCGGCCGCCTCCGCAGGGGGCGCGCCGCGCACGAGCGCCTCGTGTGCTCCGCGGCCAGTGAGGCCGAGGGCCCGGGCGAGTAGTGCCTCTGGCGGGCCGCCTCGAGGGCGAGCGGAGACGGCGGCAGCTGGCCTGCAGGGGTGAGGGGGGGGCCTCGTCGCCACGGCCGGGCGCAGCGTGGAAGAAAGTGGTGCTCTCAGACCTTTTTGGGAGGGGTCCAGGGGCCGATTTTGGGCTGCCACAGTCTCTCGACTCGCCCTGCTCCGATCCCCAGGCCTTGGCGACCAGGCCCCCCAGATGCGGTCGGGCGAAGGATCGCGCCGCATTGGATGCGGCTCGATGTGAAGCCCGAGTTTCTCTACGCAGACGTCGCCGATGCATCGTCGATAGTTACACGCCGATACATCGGCGATGCACCGGCGATGCATCGGCTATGCGGCGCGATCTTCCGACCCCATCTATTCGGACCCCATTTGGGAGGCATCTACGGCGGCACGGCATTGGGTAAGCTCATCGACGGGTTCTTGTCTGTAGGCCCGCCGAGAGCAGCATTGCCCAGTGGTCGTGCGCTGCCAGTGGCCGAAGAAAGGGCAAGCGGCATGAGCATACATTGTCGGTGGTCCGCGCAGATTTCTTGGGTCGGCACTGGACCCCAGGCGCGCTCCGCGCGCCAGGGAGGGGAAGGGTCCCGCGCAGATATCCGCGCGGGCCTCCGAAAAGTTTATGATTATGTTGAGACAGGCCGAGGACCCGAGCGAGCATATAGTGCAGGGGGGTGTCTTCTCTTTCCTGGCCACCCGGATGAGTGCGGAATAGATTTGGGTCGGCCGATGGCGCCGCATCGCCGATGCATCGGCGTTGTGGCACGATTCGGAGCCTAAGTCTCCCCATGCCAACATCGCCGAGGCATCCGCGATGCGGCGCCATCCTCCGACCCCATCTGTTTGGCCCCATTTGTGGGCGGCCTCCAGTAGCGCCAGGGCAGGTCTTCTCGAAGGACTCGCCGCTGGGGCGGGGATGCTCGGGGCACCATCGCCAATGTTGACGAGTGCCTGCCAACTGATGAGGGCCCTCGCGTCGAACAGGCGCATGCACAGTAGTCCGGTGCCACCATCTAGCTGCCATGCGTGCCTTACCCGCGCCTGGACTCGCTTCCGCGTCTCCCTGCTGCACGCTGCCTCTGCGACCTGGCCGCGTCACATGGAGGCCACGGCTGTGGCGCCTGGCGGTCTGCGGAGCCAGCGGTGCCGTGGTGAGCTGTGGTGAGAGACGTCGCTCGCACTCTCTCTCTCTCTCTCTCTTTCGCTTTCTCTCTCTCTCTCTCTCTTTTTCCTTCTCGTTCTATTACTCTCCTATCTGTTCACAAGCTGGGAGGGGGGACAAAAACCCTCCCCCCCCCAAACTGGGCCTCTCAGATCCGTGGCCCTGGGGACCCCTTGGACGCCCCTGCAGAAGGTCCCCCGAGCTTTCCGGGGCTCCTGGACGCCCCTGCTGGGGCCAGCCAACGGGCTCAGCTCGGTCAGGAGCGCGGCCGAACGGCCTGGCGAGAGCCTTAAGAAGAGGCCCCAGGCGCCAGACGCCCGAAGACGGCCCAAAGAAGAACCCAAGAGGCCTTCCAAACGAAACAACAACAACATTATCATCAGTTGGTGTTTGCATTTGGGGAATGCTCTGTTCATCTGTCTTTCGGGCGTCCGAGACGACCAGTGAGTCCCGAAACTAGCTTCAAAAGAAGCCCAGCGCGACCCCAATTTGGGAAAGCTTCCTATTCAATGGGCGCATTGCTTAAAAATGCTTGGCATTGCTTGGCATCGCTTGGAAATGGCACAGTAAGAATACGAAGCATTGGGAGCGGGGAACCTGGGGAGCCCGAAAACCGGGAGAACCCGAGGAACCCGAGGAACTCGAGGAACCCGAGGAGCCCGAGGAGCTTGGGGAACCCGAGGAACCCGAGGAACCCGGGGAGCCCGAGGAACTAGGGGAACCTCCGAGGAACGAGTAACGTAGTTCCCGAGACACCTACCGTTAACCAAGTAAGTACGCCTTAGGCAAGCCTCATTGGGAAATTATCCACAAGGACTTCCAGGCAGTCCAAGAGAGCCCCTGGACGGCCCAACAGGGCCCCAAGGTGGCTCGAAGAGAGCCCCATGACGGCCCGAGATGGCCCCCAGACGCCCCGCGAAGCATTCCAAAACGTGACCCGGTCGTTCGGGGAGACCGTGGTTGGAAGCAGGGTTGCCCGAAGAAGCCCCTAGAGGCCCCCAGAAGGCGCCCAGGAGGCCTCCAGAAGGCCCCAAGAAGCCCTTCAAACCTTTCGTGAGGCCCACAAGAGGCTCTCCGAGGAGAAGCCTCCGCAAAAAGAGCTGAGGAGGATGGGGAAGAACTCGCAGGTTAGGGCGAGAATGATGAAGAGGAAACATGCGGGATGGATATTGCTCTCGCGTGCCTGGTGTTCTCTGCAAGGGGGCAGTTGCAGACACGATCGTATCTGCTGACAGGGCCCACCTCCACCGCCGGTGTCTGAGCGTGCTGGCCCGCCTCCTGGGCCCCGGGCCCACGAGGCGGCACCGGAGCCAGAGCGTGAGGTGCCGAAGGCCACCTCTTCCGCTACTCCTTCGAGCTGGACCTCAGGGCTGCTGGAGGTGACCGTATTGGCGCTACACTGCGTGGTCGCGGTGATTCAGGTGGCGTGGGTGTTCGCCCGCAGGGGAGCCTCGTTGATGTGCTGAAGCTGTTCACGGCGGGTGACGCCTGCGCGGGCGCTCCAAGACGGTCGCCCCGCCCCAGCACGTCAAGGAGTGGGCGTGGGTGCTACACGCAGGCAATCAGCGGTGGCACCAGCGCCGAATATGGGGGATGCTGACTCTGTCTCCGACGGGTCAGACTGACGACGGCCATTTATTTGACCAGCTCTCCGGACCACGACGTGTACGAGGAGAGTTACCACAGGTCGAGTGTTGGCGTGCTGGCCGTCAATTACGCCTCATCCCAACACGACCGCGCTGGGCTGGATCTTGATCGTATCCATCGTTTTCAGGGGAAGCTGACGGTCGCGGAGGTGAGCGCCATCCAGACTACCTTGGCTCGGGTTGCTGACGAGACCTACCTGGCGAGCGGGCCGCCAGGCGCCCAGCCGTGATTCCAGCGAGTGGATCGTGGATCCCGTTCGACGTCCCGATCGGCGCCGCCGCTGCTCCTGCGGCCGTGGCCGGAGGCGCCGCTGGGGCTGATGCTGGCTGGGGCGCTTGCTGCTGCGGGCGCGCCCGCCCTGTTCGCGCTTCCCGCCGCCCCGGGGTGGGCGATGGTTCAGTCGACCACGGCCAGCGATCGTGGCACGGTGGTGCAGTTGAATGGCACGAGGAAGTTTTGGGGGGACGCGGCCGTGATGAAAGTTTCATGGTACAGGCGGGGTGGACATGCGTGGACAATGTTTCCATAACTACGAGCTTGTATGCGAGTGCAGAGTCTGCCCTGGGCTCACGGTTGCTGGTCGTGCCCATGCAGGTTGATGGCAGTCGTGAGCGGGTCCAGTTTAGAAATGTTGTCGCTCATTCTGCAGAGGCCCAGCTGGTCGGGTGGCCTATTGAACGTCCACGAACAGTGGCCTGGCGCTGTGCGTTCATAGACCGCCGACGCGGCGGGTTGCTGGAGCATTTCAGTCAGTTCAATAGCTACTGTCACCGTACGAATGACGACCACTGCGCGATGAGGCAGGTGGAGTTCTTAGCCTGCTGGGACCACATGAACCTTTTGACCTCGTCGGGGTGGAAGTGGCTTTGCGCCAGGCCCAGCTTCGCGAGCACCGCCAGCCATAACGACGGCGACAAAGACGGCGCCGAGACAGCCAATTAATTTGCCGTTCTCGGCGAGGCATCGGTCTTCACGGGCACGTCGAAGGAGGGCGGGGGGATGATGGCTCGTCCAAGCGGTCCCCAACACGTGGCAGCCGCGGTAGAAAATGACACGGGCATCTTCGAGGTTCTCAGGAAAGGCCGAGGTGGAGAGCCGCGCCATCTCGGAGCAGGATGCCCCCTGGCCTGCTCGGGGACATTCAGTGGGCTGCTCCAGATTTCCCCGCTGGCGTTCTACATGCGCGAGGGGGTCTCCATCTTTTACCTCGGGGGCGTCGCCGGCGCGACATGCTCCCGATCCTTCCTCGCTCGTCGTCGGCCTACTCTCCCATCCTACAACAGAGTGATTCGACCCTCGCTCGGGCTGCTGAGCGGAGGCTTCGTCGCCGCCGACGCCGAGGGATGCCGTCGACGAGCTCATGGGAGTGCTCGGCGAGATGCACCTCGGCGCGGGGGGGCTCGCTGACCAACCGCGGCAGGGCCCCGACTGGCCGCCGCTCGCAGTCCACGCCGAGCCCTGCCGAGAGCTCGGAGCCATTGCGAAGCGCATCGGCGAGCCCCCGCGCGGAGCTCCGGGCATCGCAGGCGCGTCGCGTGGAGGCCGTGGCGCCTGCCCTGGCCAGCTTCGACAACGTCGACCGCGCGCGCCTGCCCGCCGCGCCTGCTTCCCCGAAGTCGTGGGAGACGCGCGCTGGAGACGTGGCCCAGAAGATTGCGTGCCGTCTTCGTGACTGGGCATCTCCCAGCGAGCAGGGGCGTGGGCGCGCGAGAAATGAGGGGCGCGCAGACCGCGCGCGGGCGCCAACCGGCGCAACCCCAAGCTGCGCAGATACAGCGCTGCAGAGGCTGGCGGGCGCCAACTTGATCGCCTTCAGTCAGCCTGCTCGCTTTCGAGAAATTGGGCGATCATGCAGTCACATCGGATGCCCCTTGCTCGTCCTTGCGTTTTGGCGCAGCCGACGAGGTGGAGCTCGCCTCGGGCTCGGCCTTCAGTCGGATCACCGTGGAATTGCTGTTGCGGGCGTGGGCGTGCCGGATGAGTTCGCAGGGGCGCATTGCCCCTGCTGTGGTTGCAGACATGTTCTGGGCCCCCCTCAGTGCACGCAGGTGATTTGGGATTGGAGACCCCCGCTTGCGGCTCGCCCGCGCAGCCTGACCATCGCTCGACTCTCTCCGTTCGCTGTTCGCCCGCGGGCTGGGCCGTCCGCGAATGCCCGCGACCTTCTCGTCGATCGCAGGCCCGCTCCATAGTGGCGTCGTCAATGCCGAGTGCGTCGACAGCATCGCATCCCTGGCCCGCGACGTTAGCGTCGCTGTCGATTTAGCGAGAGCTGTCGATGGGGAGCTTCAGCGACATGGCCCACCTACTTGCCCAGTGAAGGGCGGGGTGGGAGGTCGGGCGTCGGGCTAGGAGTTCGGCGCGCCCGACGCAGCCATCAATCTCAAATACCTTCTTCGATGTAGGCCTAGGCGACGCATTCAGTAGCCACTCGTCCAACGCGGCCCACAGCGCCCCCGGGCCCCCGCCACGCGCCCGAAGACGGCAGAAACATCGCCGCCACGAGGCTTTCCAAACACAGAACTGGTAGATTTTCCGTTGGCCTTTGTATGATTTTGGGCTACTCGGTTATTTTGTCTCTCGGGCGTCCGAGAACGCCCGAGAGGCACCGGAAACCGTTCCAAGACGAACAACGCAAGGCTTCCCAACAGTCCAAGAGAGCCCCACGACGGCCCAAGAGGGCCCAGAAAGTGCTTGCAGAGGGCCCCATGACGGGCCACAATTGCCCCAAGACGCCCTCCGGAAGCATTCAATGTGTGACCCGAGACCGCGGTACGCGGCAAGGTGGCCCGAGGGCCCCCCCAGAGGCGGCCCAAAGGCGCCAGGGGCGTCTCCAGAGGCGCCCAGGGGGCCCTTGAACGAATTTCGCGAGGTCCTCCAGAAACTCGCTTCGGAGGAGCTTCGCCAAAGAATCAGAGCAGGACGGGGGACAGTTTGCGGAACAATGAAGGCGAGAACGAGGAAGAGGAAGAAGAAGAGAACACATTAGGGGAGTAGAAATCAACCATAGCATAGCAGTGGCGTCGAAAACTTCCACCAACAACGGTCGGTGGTTTGATTGATATACCTCTCTCTCATTATGCTTGCACTTTGGGTGTGGAGGACCAAGGCGCATGGCGCGACGCGCCAGTGCAATCTCCTTAACGTGCATGCACGCGTACATGCATACAAGCATACATGCACGCATGCACGCATGCATACATGCATGCATGTATACATACGTACATACATACATATACACATACCTACATAATGCCCCAATGCGTGACCGGGATCTCGGTGCCCGCCCAGACCCGCCCAAGCAGGCGGAATGGCGAAAGCCTTCAGAGACAATTTGTTTTGCAACGACTTGATGCTGCATTCATTTTGCAGCTTCTCTTTGGCCAACGGCCGAACCAACTCACGAGTGACGCTCCACTCGTACCAGCAAG